TATGCTTGAAACTGCACCCATTTTTCCCACCTCTATTTGCTCCAGGCCCTGTTACCCCTTTTGGATCAAAACCTGCAGGACTACTTTTATCATTTTGAAATCAGCTGGGCAGGCTTCCAACTGGAAGGTGTTTTAGACCAGGTTCCCAAGATGCAGTATCTCATAAAATTGTCATTTCTGTTTCCCTCCCTGCCTTGGGACAGGGAGGAGTGCTCAGAACAGTCTCAGCTGCACTTTGTGCCTCAGGATTTTGCCCCTCAAGGGAAGGAGTGCCAAAGATGTCCTCAGAGGGAAAGCATTGCTTTCCACAAAGGCATACACCCAAATCCTGTGCAAAGGAGATGGCAACACAGCAGGAGGGGAGTTGGGCAGGGATTTTCCAGGGAGATCTTTGCTCCCTGGGCCCTGCTGTAGGGAGGAGATGTAGTCTGTCTCAAGGCAGGGCTGGAGAAGCTGGGAGGAATCTCTGGTTCCTCTTCTGTGATTAACTGTGCTGCAGCCATCTCAGCATAGGCCCTATTGAAAGGCATCAACATTCTCCTTCCTACACCTCCACAGGGTTTCTTCTTCCCCTCCAGCCTGGGTTTCCCACACACACACACAGGGATCGGTGTGCAGGTGTGTCATGGTTTAACCCCAGCTAGCAGTGAAGCATCACACGGCTGCTCGCTGATTCGCCCACCCTTGGGGGATCGGCAACAGAAGCAGAAGAACAAAAGTGAGAAAACTCCTGGGTTGAGATAGAGACAGTTTAATAGGTAAAGCAAAAGCCTCGTATGCAAATAAAGCAAACCAAGGAATTAGTTCACCACTTGCCGTGGGCAAGTAGGAGTTTCAGGACACCAGGACACCAGGGCCCCATCACATGGAACAGTTCCTCGGCAAGAAAAATGAGACCACTCTGAACATCCCCCCTCCCTTCTTCCCCTCACCTTATATGTTGTGTGGCCCCATATGGAATGGAATATCAGCTGGGGTTAGTTGTCCCAGCTCTCACCCCTCCCAGCTTCTTGTGCACCCCTAGCCTACAAGGCCCCTAGAAGAGGCCTTGGCTCTGTGCAAGTACTGCTCAGCAATAGCAAAAACATCCTGTAATATCAACACTGTTTTCAGCACAAATCCAAAGCACAGCTCCACACCAGCTACTATGAATAAAATTTAGCTCTATTCCAGCCAAAACACACACAAAGTGGAAGCAAGGTACCAGAAAAAGAAGAAGCATTAATTTGGGGTAATTACCCCAGAGAAACACAACTGCAGTAACCATTCCCTTCAAAGTATCCAGACTAAATAATACTTCAGTTCATGAAAGATACTTCAATGAGCCAGCACATGTTGATTTTGAAAGAAGTTCCTTCACAAAGCTGAGTCATAAAGAAGATTGAGAAGGTCTATAATCAGTGTTTAAACAGCCTAGAAAGATCTACCAGCAAGGGAGTGCCCAAAATTTTCATGCTGTACACTATCTTTTATTTTAATGTTTGCTTTAAGTAAAAGGCTTCATTTATTTCATTTGTCTGGGTACAATGCATTTCAAATTTCAGATCTCCTCTTACTGACAGCAACATTCAATTCTGTTGATCTTGTACTTCACAAGTTGTGTGGGAAGGTGTCTGAACTTTTTGTCTAATCAGAGAATTCACTTCAGTTGCTTTTTTGGACTCCAATTAGGAAAGGCCTTAAATTAAACACTAGGGATATAAGAAAAAATGAATAAGATTGGAAAACACTGGAAAAATACACAAGAACAGTTGCCATGGCAATCCTTCTCTGCTTTCATGTGCTGAAGAAGACAGGTCCCAAACACAAACAGCTCTCAGAACCCACCTAGCTTCCAAGTCCAGGCACGGGCGGGGTGGGTGGTGCCATTGCCCACATGGCACAGGCTGGGCTCTGCTGCCCCACCACAAGGAGCCCCAGAGCTGGGTCCCACTGCCAGGGTCACATTGCACACCCAAGGTCATTCAAGTCACAATGCAGCTCAGGGTGCTGCAGCACGTGGTATATCGCAGGATGTGGTTTCTGGGATCTTTCACTTCCACTGGCACTTTGAAAATCTACACTTTAGATTCAAGCTTCTCAACCCAGTCTTCTCATAGGGACTGCACAGAAGATACATCTGAGACTTCTTGGGACCTTGGGCCACTGATCAGTCAGACTTCACACTCAGTCTAAGAACAGTGCAGCTGCTTTCACCCCAGTCACTCAAATTTCTCTTCCTGGGGGTGGGCAGCAGTGAGGGGTATGGGAATGGCATGCACCCAACTCCCACCTAGGTATAGGGTCTGGATGTAGAATTAAGCAGACAGAGTCTCAGGAATGAAGCAGCATTTGCACTGACCCATCTTCTGCAGCAACTCCCACAGAGGACTAGAAAAAAAGCATCTGCCATGGCCGAAACTTGTCTTGCGCAACAGATTCTGCTGAGAGCAAAGCAGAGATTATGAATGAGCTGACAAAACCAGCCTGCTGTTGGCATAGGCACCAAGCAGAGACAGAGTAGCTATGCTGGAAGTGTTTCATCCATTACTGTCAGAAAAGTCACTTTTACCACTGATCCTGCTCTAATAAATCATGCTGCCAAGCAGTTTTATAGAGGCTTTATACATCCAAAGCTACTTATAGTCCTGTTAAAAGAGATGCATTTCTTTTTTATCTCAGGGTGGCTGAAATGCTGTCACAGAAGAAAGAGAGCTGCTGCTCAGAGTGCTATTCTAAAAGAAGTATTATTGTAATTAAATAGGGAGGGACGACATGAGCTAGAAGCCACAATCTTCCTCCTCTGACCCATCGCCTTGGGGCAGCATTGCAAAACTGAAAATTGGTGACCATAAGCACAATAGCTGCTCACACACTCTTTGCCATGGGGATTGATGAAAATGGGGAAATAATAATGTTACTTCCTCATTCACCATAGATTTCCCATCCCCTCAAAGTGACTGGAGTATTATAAGTCTGGCAAGATGTACATGGACAACTTAACCAATTAGCTCTTTTACAAAGGCTGTCACCTTCTTAATGCAGTGTTAGATATATTAAGGCATGTGTCTACACAGTAAATTATTCTTTTCTGAAGGTAACCAACTTCTTATTCTAGCAGTCTTAAAACTTGAGTCTGCAAATGTTCACCCCTGTGGTTGCATTTGCTCTAGTGAGTTATTCAGTGACTACAGAAGCCAAACAATAGATCAAAGTAGCTGGTCTACATACACACTACATATACATACATTTATACCCATATGCACCTACATATATATATATATATATATATATATGTATATATATATATATATATATATATATATAGGGACCTGCCCGGCTGCTGCTAATAAGCAGCAAGGGCACTCCTGTCTCTGGGAGGCAGAGATAATTCCCAAGGCCACTCCCCTGCTCAGCCTGTCCAGCCCAGCAGGCGGCACAGGCCGCTGTGGGGCTGTTCCACTGCCCTGACAAGCGAGGCAATGGGAAAGGCGCCACAGGCAGCAATGCAGGTGATGCACAAGCCCACCACGTCCCAACAACCCAGCAAGGCGACCTCCAGCAGCACTAAGGGGCCTCAGCACAGAGAAACATCCACCTTTCAGTTTCCCCGACACTGTCTTCTTAAACCGACACACAAGAGGCAACGTCATGGTGCCCTGCCAAACAACTGAAAAGCACCAAAATATCTCAATTCCATCATTCACTGGAGAAAGAAAAAGTCATTGCACAGGCACAGAAGAGAAGCAAGGAGGTCTCTAGGCAATCTGCTGCACTCTACTCTCTCAGAGATACTGCAGGGGATGGATAAAAAATTATTTGTTTTAACATCAATTCAGGAGTCAATTGCATGTAACAGTGTCTGTGGCCATGCTGGCCTTGAGTCAAAATCCAGAATGCACCTCTGACTTCTGGCCCCAGCACAGAGTGTGGAAAGAGGTGGCTGGAAATCCTCCAATGTCAACGACAACTCTGGCTGTCCAAACAAACATTCACTTGCAGTGACAGAGGTGTATCAAAAAGCTGCCTAAGGAGCAGAGAAAGACTGCTGGAAACCCTCAAAGAGTGTTCCTACCTTTCTATAAACAAGGACAAAAGGATGCCATGTGTTATGGACAAATTCAACTGGGGAGGCTAATTATAGATAAATAAATTAACAAGAATTTATTAAGGAAACGGTATTAAGCAAAAGAACAGTGCTGGGTGGCTGGGGAGCCTCTGCTCTGCCATGGCGCACCTTCGTCCTTTGACCTTTTTGTTTTTATAGTCCCTTTTTTTTTCAGTTGACATATTTTCTCTCGATGCACTCTGCACCGGTGCAATTGGTTGATAGGGGGTCTTTTTTTCTGCCCTTGGTGGTCATAGGAATGAAGGCTCCTCATCTTCCTTGCAGATTGTCCTTGGCCTAAAAGTTAACTTGTATATAGTTAGTTACACAGTCTTCTATGCTAGTTGCATTCCCTACTCAGTTCAAATTCTTATCTCCTTTAACGCTCCTTTTGATGAACAAAGACCTTTTTATTTATTACACCATGGATATTAGCTTTACATTATTTCTAGAAAGCAACCTGACAAATGCGTGAGATAAAATCTACCTGGGTCCACCAAGCACAGTAACAAAAATCCCTGGGCCACATTGTACTAGAGATAGGGAAATATTTAGAGGAGGTCTGAGACCACAGTTGCACTGTTCCTGTAATTGTGTCTCAGGTGTCCACTACTGTCCATCACAGGGACAGGGCACCAAGCTAGATGGACTTCAATAGGACAAAATGTCAAACTTTTCTGGATCATAGATCATGTTGAAAATCAGTCACCAGTATTTATCTGAACATTAATGTGTTCACTGCCTGTGAACCCCAGCCACAGGAACACATAATTTTCCTCAGGTAAGTGGGCCCCTTGTTTCTACATTAACACAAATACATCACTTAAAGCCTCTCAATGGCTGGAACAAATAAAGGAGATTATTTAATCAGTTCCTGTCTCTCACAGTCAGATAATGCAGGGCCACACCAGGACACCCAAAATAGTGATTTATTGGAAAAAGCATTATGACTATTTATAAATGCTGTGACATGATTAGTACTCCAAACAGAAAGATAAACTAGCAACCTACGGTCTAGCAAATCAACTAGCAAATCAGCTACTCCCACTGAGCTCACAAAGTCAGCGATGTTGTAAATCACAATATTATTTATTTATTTATTTATTTCAAAACTGTAGAAAATGCAGACAAAACACAGGTATCTTTGTGTGTACAGAAAAGGCAATTCAGTTTGCTTAAGGCTTTGACATTATTAAACAATGTTTATGAAATTCTATCCTGCCTGCCTGGCACAAAGGCCAGTAGCAGGGCTGCACAGGCAGAGCCTACAGATGTTTACTCTCACTGTTGGGTCTGAAGCTCTCACTCTCTGTTCAGAGGGTATGCACTTTATAAAAGAACCCCACCATGCTGCTGAGCTGTGCAGCTCTGTTTACACCAGGTTTATTACTGGTATCCCTAACATCTGAGATTTCACAACATAAATTTTGAGAAATTTCAAGGTTTTGATCATTGAAGGACATTCACCACAGGTTGCCAGACTGTATCCACACAAGCTCCAAAACGAACCTGGGGAAGGCATGAAACTGGACAATACTGTGCTCCTCCATTCCTCGCCCATACAGGCTAAAAAAATCTGGGACATGAATGGTCCCTTTGGATTCAAGTACAAGTTTAAAAGGGCATTTGCTGCTTCGAAAATTCCTTCAAATGCCTAATTTTTTGTTTGTCCTGATTTTTCTTTTTATTTTTCATCCCCTGCACTGCAATCACTAACCACAGCCAATAGCTTTTCCCTGTCATTGTTGTTTGGTTTTTTTGCTTTAATTGAATGATATCTGCTCTTTTTACCTGTCCTGAACTAGCTGCTCTTGCACACAGGTGACTGAAACTCTCATGAATTTCACAGCAAAGCTCTTATTTGGCTCAGCAAGAGAAAAAAGAAAAGCACATCAAAACCTCAGGTTTTCTCCTTTGCCTGCTGAGATTTGTTCTCAGAAAGCAGGCACACATGCAACAGCTTGAGAGCCAGAAGCCACAATGCCATCTGACAAATGTCTCTTTCAGCTCCAGGAGAAAATGGCTTTTGGAAAGCACCTGAACTATGGGGCTCTTAAGGACCAGAGGAGCACACCTCTTTTAGTGCAGGTAACGCATTATACACACCCAGTAGCAGGGTGTGTGAGTGTTCCTACTGGGGGCATTCTGCTGTGTCCTTGGCTGGTTTGATGCCTGACATTTCAACATTGCCACTCTTCCTGAAACCTGACCCACACTTGCTATTGTATTTGAAGTTTCCAAAAGGCTACTCGTTATTTGACCCAAGTCCCTGTTTTCCAGAACCGCCATGTTTTCTTTTTCCTCCTCTAAATAAAACAGCTGGTCTCAGTAGCCCTTCAAAAATTGACACTTTTTAAGCGAAGTATGGTAGTTTCACCATATTTTCATCATTCTTCAGATGCACTCTCAGATCACAAGTAATAAGCATCTGCTTTCTTCCCAGCCATGCATTTCTCTAATTCAGTTAGATAACCACACATATTTCTGCTTTGGCCCTTGCATAGGCTAGTTTTGAAAAAATGTTACACAAAAGTAATAGGAAGGTGAGGAAACAATCTTCAGGTCTCCAGGTCACATTGTCCAGCTGCTAGCTGAGATGAAGACATAGCACACAGCAAAACATCTCTCCTCAAACAAAAGAAAGCTTCAAACAGAATCTGGATCTTTCTCTGAATGGCATTTCTCAGACAGACAACAGAAGTGTTGATCTTCTGCACACTCTGTATCAATGTAAAGGATGTTTATTTTCTCTATGCTGCGTTGGCAGTAATGCCTGTGTCCCTTTAGATAGTTTGTGGAATGGCAAAGATAAAAGCAGCATTTTACAGCTACAGCAAACTGAAGGAGATAAAAAAGTCTCTGTATGCACTTTTGTCATGTTCCTCTGCCCATCTCAGGTGAGACTAATAGTCTGCCTACGCTTGGACATGACTCCTGTCAGGCACCAGTCAATTAAGTACTTTTGGCTTTCAGCATTGAACTCTGGAAGCAGAAAGGAGATAAAAACAAGCCACAGAGAGACCAAGAGAGTCTGTGTGGCTGAGGACCTGGTCTGGAATGACGGAGTGGGACCATCAGGAGGGTCAGCAAGTGTTCTTCTAAAATTACTTTTATAGTCCATAAAAGACTAAGGCATAGGCATGGAAAAAGGTTTTTTGCCTCTGTTGAATTTTTAGTTTATTTTAAAGAGGACAGGGACATAATGTGGAGAGGTTATCAGAGCAAGGCAGCACCACGAGGAGCCAGATGTTCACTCCTTCACAAACCAGACCTCATTGCGGCGTCCGTAAGGCTTCATAGGGGGGTCATACCCATTGCACAGGTAGAAATCCTTGTGGTATGCAGCATCACTTCCCAGAGCAGCCTTCAGCTTGGCAGCATAGCTCACGTAATCTGCCTCTTTGGCATAGCCACCAAACTGCCTGCAGAGAAACCAGAGAGGTGTTGAGCAGTCCTGGAAAAGCAAAGAAGGAAAAAAGAGAGAACAATACATAGCCACAGTATCTTTAGACATGCATTTTGATCCAGACCCTGCCAACATGCACTGATGCGTGCAGTGTTCATTGTGAAGCAGCACACTTCATCTGGGACAGTTGAAGTCTCATGGGTGGCACAGCCAAGGTGCAGTCATCCACTGGGAGGCCCCAAAGGGATCCCCCCCAAACAGCCGCACGTATGTCAGCCAACAGAATGGCCCTGCCCTGTGAATCAGCACCATATCAGAAAAACAACTTTCTAAAATACAAGGTTATCTCCAAGTCAGCTCGGCCCACAGTCCCCACCAATGCTGTCAACAACCATGTTCACTGTGGTGTGAACAACCGTCTGCTGGAAAGATCATGAACGAAAGCCAAGCTCTAGCTAGCCCAAGAAAAAGGGGAGGTAGGAACACACAATTGGCAATTACAGAACACAATGCCATTTAAAAGTAGTGGACTGAATTGGGTCTGGTTTATGTCGACCTCCCACCAACAGGAATTGTTTCCACACCAGCCTGCACCTCACCACTCTCCTTCAGGGCTGAAATTTGAGACAAAACAGGCTGATATTGCAGAAATGGCCCACACCCAGAGCAAAGGCCAAGCAGCAGTTGGAGGCAAGAAAGAATTCCATTAGAGTCAGCCAAAATAGTTCAAGAAAGTAAGCAGGGGAACCTCCAAAGGGTAAAGACAAGGTGAAGAGCTTATTGCTATTGTGATGCTAGTTTGAGTCCAGGCTGTCGGTCAACACCCCAAGACTTTCAAAGAGGACTAGAAGCAATGTAGAGGCTGCTTGTTTCCATGATGGAGTCTGGTATGAGTCCATCTGAATGAGGCCTCAGTGGACAGTTTGTGAACTGCACCACAGAACATTCTTAATTACTATGAACAATCTGGAACCCAGAAAGTGGGAAAAACAATAGAGTCATACAATAGAAATGGCACTGTATATTTTAGGACTAGCCTCCACGCTTGTTTACCCAGTGGAAAAAAATCCATATTCCACATCAGTGCAGCATGACCAGGGATAAGAAGTGACATAAAACCTGTCTTCAGTCTAGACATACTCCTCTATCTCTTTCAGCCACATGCACCCCTTGTACAGCAAGTAACCTGGTAAAACAAATACTGCTTATCAGAGCACCTTAAAGACCCCACCACCTGAGATTGGAGATTCCCGTATTTATTCCTTACGTGGAATAAATGGTCATCCCCTGTCTTTCTTCAATCTTAATGCTTTCATCGGTAGGACATGGAGGGCTGTCTTGAAACTGGCTTGGGATCCGCAGAGAGACTTTCACCTTCTGCTGAAAGGAGCCATCTTCAGCAGGAAAAGCAGTGATGGAGACAGGAGCAGTCATGCCCATTCCAACCCCTGAAACAGACACACAGACATTACTAAAGAAGTCTAGGGTCTCAGGAACTCAAAAAATTAACAGGGAATTTACAAAAGCTAATTTTAGTTTTGGAAATCTCCTCATATGAACAAACTCCTTGTCAGGAGAGAGCTCCTCTGGGGAAGGAGAACAGCCATCATCAGGCTTCTGCTTGGGCCAAGCTCTTTCTCCACACCAGAAGCCTGGGAAATAAGTGTCCCAACTGACCTCTGGAAGTTTTTTTACTAACGGTGCTGCTTTTGTGGTTCTATTAGACACTCTGTTCTTATGACAAATCAGCTGCAGGACAGCAGGGTCTGTAGCTCCAGGACAGGCCAGCAGAACATATAAATCTTCATCAGCATTTAAATCAATACTATCTGCACTTAGTCGTGAGCCCACAGCCAATACTGGGTGACAGGAGCTTTCTCTTAAAACCTTCCAAATGCTTCCAGACATTCTACAATTTCCAATGCCCCAAACCTCAGTGCTGTTATGGCTTTCAGCAGGATTGTCCATGCTTTCCACACTCCAGGAACAGCAAGTTTTTTTCCTACTCATTATCACCAAGAAGTACCATATAGCACTGAAGACCAGTTTTCTTCACTCTCCTTGCAGCAGTAAGGAACCTCTAAACCTCATGATCAGGGAGCCATAAAAACAGTTGAGATCAAGCCATCTTTCTCATTTATTTTCGTTTGATGTCATACCTGTGTTTGTGTCACATATTATAGAAGGCCCCCTTTCTACTACAGCAACAGCATTCATCGCCTTTCCAAAAATGTTGCTGCAAATACCATTTCCTACTGCATCCACCTCCTACTCCTATAGAGACTACACTAGTCCCTTTACTAGATGCTAGAGAAAGATGCTCAATATCATGTATATGCCTCAGACCTACTCTGTAGTCTTCTCCTCCTGTGAATGGTTAAAATGCGCACACTTTAGTAAGATGAGAATTGGAAGCAATCACCTGGAAGCACTGCCATAAAACATTAAAACATACCATTAAAAAGGAAGCTTGCTGTTCATTACCCTTTCATGAATAAAAATAGCCAGATAAAATATCAAGGTCATAACTGTTATTTCACTGCCCACAAGGGCACATAATAGAACTGAAGTGTCCCAGATACACTGGATTTCACCAGCTACTGCTGATCCAGGGAGCTGTGATAGATACATGTCTGCCTGTCCTTGTGTTATCCCAGGTGCAAGGGAACTCATTCCTTTTTAAACAAATAATTTTTGACATTTCATCCCGAAACAGAGACAGGTTATTAGTGGACTCATAGCATGAGTTGGCTGGGCACAACTTAACCTGCTGCAAATTTACTTTTACCAGTGAGGGGCCATCCCCATCAAAGACCTCCAGTGCCAGGAGCCACAAGCCAGGCGGGCCTGCAGTGCCATTGCCTCCATCCATCCTGCTTTCACCAAGCCTGAACCACAAACACGCGCCAAGCCCCGCGGGCCAGGCAGCATCTCTCACCCTTGTCGTTGCTTCCTCCGACGTACTTGAGCAGCTTGACTGCCCCTTCTTTCGTGGCTTCGTCGAACGGCTTCCCCACCAGCTCCACCGCCGCGAACTTCCCGCCCTCGCACGCCCTCTCCTCGTAGCTGACCTGGTCCTGGGGAAGGAGATGGGGATGGAGGCGCTGCCAGGAGGAACGGGCTGCCCGGGGGCGATCCCCGCTTTCCCTCGAGCGCCTTAGCGCGGAACCGCTCGCCCCGACACAGACCTTCTCGCCCTTGCTCAGCAGGCGGTAGGGCCATGCCTCCACCCTGCTCAGCAGCGAGTTCTTCACCATGCCCAGCATGATGCCGCGGCTCGGCTCTGCCCCGCTGGGCTCGGCTCTGCCCCTGCCGGCTCGGCTCGGCCCCGCTCGGGGGAGGTGGGAGGCCCGGAGCCGCCCCGCCCGCAGCGCGGCCCCAGCGCCCGCGGCCCGCCCGAGCCGACGGCGCCGCGGGGCCGGGGCCGTGCGAGGGCGCCGGGAGCGGCGGGAGTGCGGGCCGGGAGCGGCGGGAGTGCGGGGCCGGGAGCGGCGGGAGTGCGGGGCCGGGAGCGGCGGGAGTGCGGGGCGGGAGCGGCGGGAGTGCGGGGCGGGAGCGGCGGGAGTGCGGGGCCGGGAGCGGCGGGAGTGCGGGGCCGGGAGCGGCGGTCCCGGAGGGTGAATTGTGGAGGGCGCCGAGAATTGCGAGGAGTCATGAAGTGCGGGAAGAGGTGGTACTCATCTCTGGGAGACAGGAAAAATGAGAGGGGATATGAAAGTAATGAAATACAGGAAAAGGGAAGTACTGGCAAAGTGTGTCATGCATAGCATGGAAGGGCACCACTGTCCTAGCATTGCAAAATCATAACCTCTTGTTTTTTCGGTCTTTTGTGGGTTTTTTAAAATAAACAGAACTAAAGGGGAACATAGTTGTTTTTTTTTTAAGGAGGTGCTCTGTGTTACTAGTTATTGTAAGCTTTAGGTGAAGGGTAGATTTTAGAAGTTCCTAATGATACTTGATCTCCCTCCACTGACCACCGAACTGGTCACCTCTGTTTAAAAGTTCTGTCCAGATCCTTTCCCAGAAATACATGTAAATGAACACAGCAGAGAGCTTAGATGGCTTTTGTAGCTGGATACATTTATATGCACAGAAGACTTTGAACCTTGTAACAACTGTTTTTTGGTTGTATAAGCCATGTCTAAGGACAAGTGCCAGCTAGAGGAAGTGCCTTACCCAGGATTTTTTAAGAAGAGGTTAGCAGAAGCAGAAATCAAATACCAGTCCCTAGGAATCAATCCCATGGGTCAGGCCAGCTTCCCCAGGCAGATAGGATAGAGGCATCTCAAGTTGCTCAGCTGGACTGCTGCCTCCTCAAATAGAAGGTGAACAGTGCAGAAGTAGGCTGGCACATAACCTTCCTACACTCTTAAAGAGCAAAGAATAAAATTATAAGATAAATAGGACACTAAAACTTTTCCGTCTAGAGAGAGGGTCGTGCAAAGAGGTTAAAGAAGCTGACTGTTATCATCTGATCAAACAGGCTGCGTCCAGGTCAGGGAGCTGGGCTGGAGCCTGGCATGGGCTTTCACAGAGTGAATGACAAGGGCTGCTATCACTGGTGACAAGGTCACAGACTAGTAATTTATTAACCATTTATATTACTTGGTTTATCCACCATTATGCAACAAATTGGAGAATTGTAATACACATTGCATGCTGCAGCTTATTTGTTCTTTTTTAAAGTAAATGGTGACTTTCTCCATTGTGGTGAGGAGGTTTTGCCAAGACTACAAACTTGCACATATCAGCATAGGAATATGTGGACTGGGTTAGACTGGGAGTCCATCTTGCCGTGTCCTCTGTCTCTGGCAGAAGCTGGTGGTGGACATCGAGGTATAAAGTAAAAGTAAGTAATGATCTGGTCTGGCCTCCTACCACCAGCTATCTGTAACTTGAGTGACTTAAGGAAGTCCCATCTTTGTATTTCAAGTAGTACTCAATTTATATAACTTCAGGTTGCCTGATAAAATGCTTGTGTCTAAAATACAATCATGAAAGTTAACATTTATGTTGTACTCTTCCTCCAGATAGGCCAAAATAACCAGCAGTTTCCACAGCCCCAAGCAAAGCATCCCTTGGAGGGATCCACAGTCTGTGCAAGGATGCAGCTGCTGTTACAGCACAACCTAGAAATTCTGAATGCAGAATAACAAGAAGTTAGGGGCCTTTCTCACCTGTTATTCCTTGTAATTTATGTAAATATATTCTGGGATCAAAATGCTCTACATTGCTTGAGAAATTATGATGACAACTTCAACAAAGGCACAACTGTATCCTTTTATCAGCCTTTTCACAATCTTGATTTTTCCCTTCTCTAGCTAAGCAGTACTTCAAATTCCCAAGCAAAAGCCAAAGAGAGCCAAGTTAGAGTTTTGTTATTTTCTGAAAACCTGAACTCAGAGAACTTACATCTGGGAATTATTTATCAGATTGTCTCAAACACTGCTCATACCTCCCCCACTCAACTCCCAGGTTGTAGCTAAAATTCTTACTGTGTTAATTCTTCTGGTCAATTCTGAAAGATTTCATATGAAACTAGTTTTTACCCCTTTCCTTTTGGAGGTTATTGTACTGTCACTGAATTTCTTTCCATAAACTCAGGCTTTGTGAATCCTTAAATAGCTAGTCTGCATCCTCACTGTTACTGGAGAGTGTTTTCAAAACAACTGACATGCCAGACACCCCCACAATAATTTATACATAATCCATTCTTTATTTGTGTTCTCATAAATTGCTTCATCCAGACCTTAAAGACTGGATGTTTTCCTGTTTCTTTTTCTCTCCGACTCTCTTTCTTATGTTTCAACACATTTCATATACACAGTTGAATGGAAATCTCTATTGGATTTATCTTTAGAGAAAGGGCAAACCCACTCTATCCTCCATTCAGTGCATAATTTGATTCATGCACTCTTTTTTTATCACCAGCTTTATTGTCAGGAAGACAGGCAAAGACAAGCTGAAGGCAGGGTATTCTGGGTAATCCCTGAGGGACCAAAGTCTTTGGAGAGCGTGGTTGTTAATTTTCTACAGATATTAATGGCACTAAAGGATGTTTGGAAATGTCTGGAGGTCAGTGCTGGCATGTGGAGAAAATACTCTGTGAACTAGACACCAATTGAATTATTATCTATGATTTTGGGGACTGAAGAGTCTCTTAAGCTATTTTGGAAAATCCTTCCAGACACCTATCTTTACCATTAGGTATCTAAATAGTTTAGGGGAAAAAAAATCCCCTGGTTTCCATGGGTCTTGGCAAAAATCAGTTCAGTGTGTTTCAGAGGGCTGGAAATTCTGAACATATCTACTGAATAACACCATTCTGAGTGCAGAGTTCCAGGTAGCTAGAAAAACACTCTTTGCAGAAGGCAGATGTTCGTATTTGGTCCCTGGCAATTGATATATCTTCAGTGTTGAAGCATGACATACAGACCAAGGTTATGCAGCCCTACTCACCCTCTGAACATATGAACATAGACAATAGGTTAAGGTGGTATTTTGAAACATAACTTCCTCTCCCTCACCCTGCTCAGCTGGAAGTGACAAGCATTAATCCATCTTTCTGTATTCATCAGTTGTTCAGCACTTTCGAAGTTCAAATTCACCAGCTGTTTCAGATGGAGTGCTTCAAAAATAGGGCAGGGAGAGAAATTCACCTGATCTTTATCGAAAGACCTTCCTCTGGTAAGCAGAAAGAATGCCTGTATAGAATAAAGGTATTCATGCTCAAGTAGACTGAGCTTGTCAACTTTTTTTTTTGCTTGGGACAGAAAACAGCCATCATTAAAGAATGGGGTCAGGTTTCGCCTACTGACCTAGGTTCGGAAGGCACCAACAAAATGCAGGAGTTCCAGTCTCCTTAGCAAAGCTGACTTGTGTGTGTGCTTTACTTTTTTTTCTCTCCAGCAATGTCCCATTGAGAAAGGCTTAAGCAGATGAAAAAAAAAAAAAGATTTCGCCTTTTTTTCTGGTAGAGAATTAAGTGCTCTGAGGTCTCCTGTGAACATATAACCTTCTTCTATGTGTCGGGAGTCTTCGCAGCTGAGTATTTCCACGCCTCTGGCTCTGCAGAGCATTCAGTCGAAGGGGAAGGACAGTTTTGCTGATGATATTGAGGCGTTCATTCAGTTCTTCCAGCCTTTTCCTTATCGACTGGACTTCCCTCACAAGGTTGTCCACAGCTGCAGAGACAGGGCGGAGACTACAATGAGAGTAATACAGAAGAATAACTCCATTTAGGGCGTGTTTCTGAGCATGTAAAGTAATTTACCATGACCTTTGTTTCTTGCTGGGTAAGGGCCCTTGATGATGAAAGACTTGCAAGCAGCCACTGAAAGATGCTTCAAAGCTACCCTGCTCTTCGGTGATGGGAGTTCATCTGAGGGGCCCCATCTGAACCCTGGAACCTTGGAAAACACAAGCTTCAGGACCAGCACAAACAACATGGTCTTTCCACCACCTTATTTTAATTAGTAATAATTAACTAGGAGTATACCTGGAGACTAGGCCAGTGGTTCCCATGGAGTACTGTTAGTCCTCAACATTTCTAATGGAGCAGTCTGTGTCCTTGTCAGCAAACTCGTATATAGCTGGATACTCACATCACATCTTCTTGAACTAAAGATTGAACTTTCCAAATACAAGACTTAATATCGCCCCTGGTAATCTGAGGCATCAATGAATTTCAGCACTATCAGTGGGAAAGTTGTGATGAATTCTGTGCTAGTAACAACAGCCACCATGCAGCCAGGAAGAAATTCACTTGATGCCAAAGGCCAATGTATAATCTATGACGTATCCTCCTGAAACCCTGATTTGTACAGATACAGTGTGATCACCTGCCTTTTTTATTATTCTAGCCTTTCCTCTTCAACTGGTTCAATGTGTAACATTTGCAAACATGTTTTTGTTGTTCCTAAAAAGAACAACTACTTATGGAAGACAGCCATTTTACTTGCTTTGGGAACAATTCTGTTTTAAGTGATACTAGGTTTCTAGTAATTGCCAGTATTACATTTTCCTCTCTTTCTTTCACTCTTTTTCTGGAAATACAAGTATGTCAGAATCTGTAGGTATTGATGATTCCGAGATTGTAGAAAGTCTCCGTCTTTCTGCCCCGTTGCCAAAGAAGAAGCCATAATTCGTCTGTGCTGTTTTCAAGGCTGTTTATTCATGCTTATCTCTAACATGTTCTGCTGCCCTGCCGCAGGTCTGTCCTGCAGGGCAGCGTGTGGGGCTCTGCCCTCAGTGGGATGGTACAAACATTATACACCAGAAACTACGTGTGCTATATTTACAATAATGTGCCAATATCTATCATCTACGTTGAACAGTGTGTCCCCAGCCTAAAACAATAGAAAAATGCCAACACTACAGTGAAACATGGAGGGCATGAAGAAGGAGGAAAAGGACAAGACACACCCAATTTCCTCCATCTTGTCCTCTCTGAACCCCTAATCTAGAAACCTAAAATTTTACTTCTGCACCCGTGCCACACTTAATTATTACTCATATCAAACACTCCGAGCTTGTAATTCATCCTGTAAGATTGAAAACTCCTCTCCATGGACAGAGATCACAGACAGTGTCTCTCAGGGCTCTGTACAGGGGGGTTCCTGACCTCCTGCCAGGGTCCCAGGCCCTCCAGGGCAGCCAGAGGGAAGCCCTGGATTCCCACACAAGTAAATTTTGTGAGTTTGTTCAACACTTAATATCTCCAGCAATGCAAAGGGGGACTATGATGACATGAACTAGTGAATATCTTTCGCAAATCTAGGTGTTAGAGGCTGAAATAAAAAAACATCCCAGACCAAATCAACTTCTTTTCCCTGATCTATGGCCAAGTCCATGTGTGGATTTGTAGAACAATTCATTTTTTCCAGCCTATTCTCACAAGTGTGAGCTGCCAAGGGCATTTCTTTAGGAAGGTTATTGTAATACAGTGATGGCAGTTGAGAGTGTTTCACAATAAATAGTTAGCAGAGTATTCAGTTTACTAATCAGAGCTGGTAGCACAACAGGTACTGAGATAGTGTGTTTTATTTCCTCTCAACTGAGAAATACAAAAATTCATCTTTAAGAAGATGCATCCTTCTCAGGGAAGGACACCCAGGAGAGGACTGAATCCCACTTCCAGATGAGATGAATTACCTGGAGAACTCAGGCAGGAGAGCATTTGGGTTGTTCAGCAGGGTATGCTTCATTTGCCAGAAGATGTCATTTCCCCATTTCTCGAGGGTTTGAGTAATGCTGTAAACACCTTCTATGTTAACCTTGTCAGCTAGGTTAACAGGATGTCCATGGAAGAGAGGAAAATAAATGTGTCAGCACAAGGAAATACAAGCCAGTGCTCCAAGTTTGATTCCATTCCCCATCACAAACTCAGTCACAATGAAATGTCAAATGTTAAACACATGAAGGATATAAAATAAAAAGCAGGTAACTCTCCCTCACAGTGTAATTCTCTGCCTCCATGTGCCCAGATTTTCTGATGTCACTGGATACCCCAGCTGATTATTTATAGAAGTATTTTTTTCTCCAGAAGTCTCCAGCAGCTACCCAGGAATCAAGAAAGAGCAGTCATGAATGAGCACTGTCTATCTCATTCCAAGGACAAAATAATGAGTTACTGAACACCTCCCATGCTGAACCACCATTGTGATCTCCTACCGCCTTCCCTGTAGTTCCATTTCTGATGCTGGTCCAGAAAGTCCTGAGATTTACTGCAGGGCAAAAAGATGAAGAGGAGGAAAAGAGGAAGAGTCACCATGATGGCTGTTGTAGGATCTTGACTTCTCCCTGTCTCTGTGGAGACAAAAAGTCTTGCTAAATGCTTTTCATTTCTTTTTTCTTCTCTTTCTCCACTTCCCATCTGTTTTCACAACACCGAATTTCTCTTTGGTGGTGTTTTTATTTAAAATGTTCAAGTTGCTCAGAATAGGTTTTACAGAAGCACAGGGACATTTTTTCTTCACAAGTATGAACTTTACTTCCTTTTCAATCAACAGAGTGGTACTGAGATGCTTCATAAGCCAGCAGCAGCTGTGGAAGTAGCTTTGCTTCATATGTAGCCATGTTGGGATATCTCCTTATAGCTACAATTGTTCTACTTTATAGTACCTCTAGGAGGAGGTACTATAAAGTGTGAAAATCACTGCATCCCTACTTTGTATTTGGGAGAAACAAGATAAACAACTATTAAACAATTTATCAAGTGTCTCATAGTGGCCAGAATAATAATAAAAAAAATGTTCTTTTTGGTCTGATATGCTAATCAGTGGCAATATCTTAGATGCTGCCCAGTGATGGAGCCTCAAAGGTAACCCCACTCCCATGTACCATCTCCACCTTGCCCTGGTGCTACAGGGTCAGTTCCTCCTGAGCAAAGCTGCAGAGTTGACAGGACATGTATATGAACTGATGTGAACACTTACCTAACTCCTTGCTTTCTTTCAAGTTTACCATCATTCCCAAGCCAGCCCTACCTACATGCCCTCCTGGGCTAGTACCATCTCTAAACATAAGAGGATAGATCAGTCTCTGCACAGCTTACTCATGCTGATTTGCTATTCTTTCCTAATAAATTAGTCCCTCAGTGTTGAATCTGATACTTTAATTTTTTTTAAAAATGTCATGAACAGCTGTTCTGCTAGAAATTGGCTGAAAATATCCATTATGCACATATTGCACATAGCAAACAGAAAAAAATGTACTGCCAAGTTCATGGGGTTTAGTGATGATTTTGGTCATCTGTAGTCACAGTGATGGAGGGGCTCACGTGAGAAGCAGGCACATCCAGAAAATCTGAATTATTCTCCTGTTCAGGTACATGCATCAAAAGCCTAAGATCTCACTGCAAAATATCAGGACATTAAATTTCTTTTTTAATATAATATAACCATCTGGGAGAATTCAGTCACCTCAAAACCTACCAGAAGCTTTAGCAGATAAAGCAGTAAATAAGTAATTCCTTTCACTTTGTGCCTTTCTTACATTTGATCACCAGGGCATTTTAATTGCAACTGCATTTATTTTTCCACTATTTAAAGTATCAGTATGAATATAGGCATAGTAATGGAAAATGTCATGATACTTTAAAAACATTACTTTCCATCTGTCAGGATGTAATTTGTATTTAGTATTCTTCATCTAATTGCAGTATTCATTTAAAGGAAAAATAAATTACCTTCTTCCTATCTCACACATGCATACACCTTTTCTTCCCACTAACTCAGACCTGCCAAAATAAAGACCTTTAAGAAGGTCTGACGATATCACCAAGGCTCATAATGAAAAGGTCTTCATGGACCTTCTTGAAACTATTTGCATTGACACCATGCCTCCTCCACCTCTCAGCTTTTCCAGATAAATGCGACAGCTTTTACAGCTTTTTTTTTTCTCTCTTTCTTTGAATGACTATGCCCTGCATATGCCTTTTTAATCTTCCCTGATGGGAAAGGACTTACCAGACACCCATGTGTCTAATTGCAAATGATTTGAAAATGCTGCCAACATCAAGGAGACAAGCTTGTGGCTTCCAAGCTAATTGGAAAACTTCCTGAAGAGATTGTCCATTCCTTATCCTTTCCAACTCCCACTTGTTTCAATACCCCACAGCTGGGATACTTTGATCTTTCTCTATTTGTTAAAAGTAGGGTGGAAATAAATTCCACCTACATCTTATACTGAAAATCCACGCTACTTGAGCTCCAACTTTTTAAAACATCAGGTGTCCAAATGAATCACAATACACACATGTTCTATTTGCAGGACCCCTCACAGACCAGTTTCTTTGTAGCTTTGCTCCCTGCATTCCTGAGGGTCTACTGTAATTTATTATCACAGTAAACATCAGGTTATAATCATCTTTGAAGTAGATTCTCATACATCAGGCACACAGAAAATGAGCAATCTTCCCTCTCTTAGGTGGAATTGTAGACAGCAAATGGATATTCACTAACAAATTCCTAGCTGAAAAAGTCTGTGGGGTCATCTGTAACAGGAACCAGATGCCCAGCCAATTCAAATATGTCTTCTGCCCTTTTGCAGAATTGCACTGGAAAGTACTATCAGGGTAGAACACAGATGGACAAGCAGGGGCAACTCTCTCACATCCTTGGATGGAAGCTCTTTCCTAAATGCAGAGAATAACAATATCAACATATTCGTTTTGTCATTGTTACTCTTAATTACAATAATATGAAGTGCTCTCAGAAAATTACATCACATTCTGCCCTTGGAGCAGAGTGGGCTCAGTGATTCACTAGACAGGCCCTTCATCTTCAGGCAGTGAAGACCAACATATTTGTCTCATTATTACACAACTTTTTTTCATCATTTTACTTTTTGATTCCTTACTTCAGCACGATAAAAGAGCTCAGCTAGTTTAATACCCTGAGCACAGCCCTGCTGGGATCAGCAGTTGTGCCATCCAAGCCAAAATCCCTGCCCCAAAGCAAAGGAGTACTGCCAGTATTTGAATTCTCATCACTGTCCCTCTCCCATTAACCCCTTTGGTTTCTTGTTGTTCTATTTCCAGTGCTCATCCCTCCTCACAATGTAGTGGGTAATCACAGCAGAGCCATGAGATTTCCTTGGTATCTGCCTCAGACTTTGACAACTGGGGTCAATTGTGATGACTGAAGTGCACCACTGCTTGTGGGTTGTGCTGCCTGCCAGGATATGGGGGACTTGCCCAGGTTGCCTTCTTCTAGTACCAAACACAGCTTAATTTCAGAGAGCTCTCTCTGCCCTGAAGCCTGAGGAGAACACACATCCTATTGCAGACTTGTGAGTTGTTGCTTCACGATGCAGAGCTTGCCTGCCCCTTGTACAAAAGAGGGCTTGAAGCCTTCACCTGTACTTCTGACTGCTCTAAACACATGCCCTCTCCTGAATGCAGCAGCATCCCAGTGTGTTAGCTTACACCCATGCTTGCTTTGAGATTGTTGATTACAGTTATCAATCCCTGCAGTGATACCTAAAATTAAGGAATTTTTTCTGCATTTGAACATTGAAATGCAAGTGAATTACATTAGTGCTTTTCATTTGAGGTCTGTTCTCCTCTCATAACTTTTTCAAGTTCCTTTTGAGCTACTTTCAGACTGAAGCTGAAGAGTGATTCTGGATTTTGTGTTGTTTGCAGGGAAATAAAATATACTTCTAAGTGAATCAGGGAGCTTGATCTGAGGTAAATCATAAATATGTAAAATGTAGTTCTCGCTCCAATGATAATGGATATTTAAACATCAAAGTATGTTTAAGATTCTCAATTTTGTAAAGGATCTCAATAGATAATAAAGCTATTTTTGCATACGGTTGGAATTTCTCTCTTTTTTTTCCTTCTATCTCTTTTATTTCCATTGCAATATTTTAAGGCCAAATTACTTAAACACACCCAACTGAAATGTTCTGTTTTATGTATTAGGTTCAAGAGGTTTAAGTTATATAAACCAAACAGTTTCTTATTAAAAAAAAAAGAAAAAAAAAAAAAAAAAAAAAGCATATTGTAGCCGCATACAATTTCTAATGCCAGTTCTTTGAGACTCCCAGCCTGGGATCTTGAAAGGTCTCTAAGCTTTTAGAGGAGAAGGCTGCCAAGCCTGTGAGTCCAGAACAATCAAAGTATTTGCAAGCTCTACTTGCAAAGCGGATGGCATTTGTTAGCTCTCCGAGCAAACAAGAAACATTAGCATATGCTTGTAGAATTATGTAATGGTGGAAAGATCGTGAAAAAGGCCAAAAATAATTTAAAAAATTGGATCCTAGAATATTAAGCCAGCCACAGTGGTACAGCTAGAATATCACCTGTTTCAGAAGTCTTTGTTATAAATCCATTGTAATGGAATATTCTTCAATTTACGTGTGTGTGTACAATGCTATAAGTTGGTGCACACACACACTCAGTTTGAGGTCAGAATAACGATATGTAGGAATAACAATATCCTCCCGAATTTTTCAAATTTGGCTACAAATTTGAGTTAAATAGTGCTTTTTCCTATAACTAAGAGTTACAGTGCTCATTTTTCTACCTGGATGTTGTGTGAAAGTGAAGAGCATCTGAATCCCTGATACAGCCTGACCCCCCTGCCAAACAAGGAGATCTGATTGACAGCCCTGATGACAGGCAGCTACGGTGATGCTGTTGCCAGCAGGCAGCCATAGTGGGGATAAAGAAGAAGAAAAAAAAGCCAACCAGGTGCAAAGCAACCATCTGCTGAAATACATCTGTAAAGTACAGTTGTAATATTCACCGTCTGCCTCTTCTCCAGGAGTGCCTGCTTTTTCAGGATATGTCTTATCTTCAACTCTCTCTCATTTTAGTACTTGGTCCTTCCTCTTAGGAAGTTTTTTCTCTCTCCTTAGATAGGCACTCACAGATCTTGCACTCTCCATGTCTGCCTGTCTGACAGTCTGCCTGGCTAAGGATTTGCTTTCTCTTTCTTTCTCCCTATTTCTCTCACTCTGCAAACCCCTGTTCTCTGTAGAAACTGTAGGTAGCAATCCTCCAACCTCCACGTCCATGCCAGTCTGCAAATATTCCTTCCTCTGCTGGCTCTTCCCACAGGTGCCTTTAGAGTCCCTCAAAGCAACAACTTCTTTCTGAGGTGTATGGATCTGTTTCCTCCAGAGGAAGAAACAAAACATTCCTGGGAAAGAAGGCAGAGAATTGTATACAAGCATTACCTTTGCTCTTGAGGCCAGTTCTTCTGTGATGAAGCTTCCAAATCTCTGCCTCCCTGCTCCTTTCTTCCCCTTACCACCCCCTCTGCATTTCAGCTTGCGAGTGACGTGTCCCTCTTCATTTCCCTGCTTTCCACATTTCCACAGTCTTTCCGTGGAGCCTCCTCCAGCTGTACCTCTCTTACCCCTCCCTCCCACTCCTGCAAACTGGCCATCTCTCCCCACACATGGGAGCCTTATGAGAAGGAAAGGCTGGACGATGGAGCCCTTCTCAAAAACAGCTCTGTCTCCAAGGACACTTGTGTTATCTTTGTCCCCAGTTCTTTTGGGCAGCTCTCAGTCTCTGACTCTCTGGCACAGCTGTATGACTTCTCCTACTAGTCACAGTTTCCACTACGCAGTGCTTCTCTCTGGCTGCTTGAACCCTCCAGCCATCCAGTCGTGAATTTGTTTGCCGCGTTCTTCCTGCCTTTTAACTAACATGCCAATTAATTCCCTGCTGATTAGTTCATTCCTGATGCATTCTGCCAAATCTATTTCCAGTGGAATAAACAAGGAGGGGTGAATCGTCTGCAGTGTTGTTGTTTTTTTCCCTTGACCCCCTCCCCCAGGTCTGCACTTGCCAAATCAAACAGGCTTTGGTCTGGTCACTACTTAATAAAGAGATTTCTAAACAAATGCAAGGTGTTAAAGGGATTAATTTTGTGAAACAGGGAGTGAACCCCTGACTCTGGTCCCATGTCCATGTCAAACTGGTATTCTGTTGTGATTTGAGAAGATGTGCAGCCGCCACAGCCCAAAGCTGCAGAATTGCTGCAGACATCGCTCATGACTAGACCCATGGCACTGCTTGCAAGTGCCTTGGCCAAATCTGCATTCTTCTTAGTATTACTTCTCCAGTATCAACTGGCAAGAACAGCCTCTCTGTTTCCTGACCAGCCTATTCTTACTTAATTCAGTTTTCCACAGCCAAGACGCTGCACTATACAGTGAGAAAAAAGACAGTTTTCTCACAGGGCGAAGGACTGCCCAGCCACTCAGAATAAAAGGATATGCGGATACCAGAGGATATGTGCAAGTGATACAGACAGAGCAGTTAAAAATGAAGTATTGTGATTGCAACAGCTGCTGGTGTAAACCAGCTGAGGAGCTGATTGTGAAGGAAGCCCAGTGGCTCTTAAGCACAGTCTGTAAACATCAGCCAAATATCAGCCAGCATTATCCTTTAGTCAGCCACTTAAATCCAGTCAAGAAGAGAGAGGTTCCGCTGGAACTAGACTCAGGGGTATCTGCTTCTCTGACACCAGAAGCATGTTGTTTTGGCTGCTCCTGCTCCCCCAGTCCCACTGGCTCTGTGGCATGGAAATTTCTGAGAAGACTGACTTATTCATGGAGCCTTGCCACTGAAACTGCAGGACACTTTTTTGCAAAGTTATAAAACACCACTTTTTAAAATCAATGCACAATATACAGGCTTAACACTGACCAGCCTCCTGAGGAACTGGAAACATATTTTTTCAGGGCTCAAACAAGCAAACAAAATGTCCAGGCAACAGGCAAATAACCCAAACAATTATCTGCCTCCAGCTGTTTCCCATTCAGCATGTGGCAAACACAGTCCTGTTACGCCTTTGTATCTCCCTGCTAAGAGGAAGCAAACTGCTGATGGTCAGTGTGAGATGGGGACACCAGCTTGAATGCTCCAAGCAAGAACCCCTCCATGGGGGCATAAACACAGAGTTCGGGTGAGCAAACCTGATGGCACTTCACAGCATGCATCGACCCGGTGCTGGCAGACCCAGCTGCTCAGAGGGAAGAGGGCAACTCCCAGTGGTACATTACGATGTATGCTTGCTGCTGGGCAGTTTGTAGGATTTTGCAGCAGGTGCTGCCTTCCTTTTTGTATAATGTATCGCCTTATTATCTACCCTCTCCTTCTCTTTATTGCATTTCCAGTTCATAAAGGACTGGGCACTTCCCTCTGGGCACTCAGTCACAGGGTGCCCAGTATTGGCAGAACAATGCTGAGACCAGAAATAGACCCATCAGGAGTTTGGCTGGGGCAACTCTCTGCAGTAACTCCCTCAACTAACACACCCCATGAAGGCAGCATGTGGGCACATCCTGCAACCTCAGGTGCTGCACAGCTAAAATTTTGCACAGTTCTGACCATCTTTTCTCATGCTAGGGTGAACTGGTCTTGGCTTTACTGCATGGGTTCATTAGAAACTCCATGGTCATCTGCATTATTTACAACTTCCTGAAGTGTGCTGTTTTACACCAGCTAGAAATGTTATTATCACTTTTCCTGGGTTTACTTGCCTTTATTTTTTCTTACTGTTATCCTTCACTGCTTGATTGTATTTATTTTGTTGTTTGAACTAGCATTTACTGTTTATTGCAATGTCTACTCCTGTGCAACAACTCTGTCACGGAAGGACTCATCCAGGCACAGGAGGAAAGAGGATGGTGTTCCTGGCCTTGCCATGTAGCCATGCAGACTAGAAGGATGGGATGAACAGAATGGGTGGAAACATTGGCTTAACACTAGTAGGAATGCAAAGATACAGGTTATTTCTTCCCTCTGGATATCTGGGAAAAGGGAACAGCTCCTGGCCCAGCAGCTAGTCAGGAGGCAACTGTCCTCTGAGCTTTCACCAGAGCTGTGTGTGCAACCACTCCATTGTGCAGCTCTGCACGAGTGACCTTCTCCAGCTTGAGAACCTTCAATAGCAGCATTTCATGCAGCTCCTTTCAGGGTCAAGGAGCAACCAGAGGTTTTAGCACGGGCAGGCTGGAAAAGGCTGTAGTCCATGGCACATAGGCAGCAAGAAGCAAGGGGTGACACAGGCTTGACACTGATGAGGGGCTGGTGGCTGTGTGTTTTCACGCTTTTTGGCTTGTAACGTTTTTCTAAATGACCACATTGTCTACACAAAGCTCTTAAGCCTAACCCCAAGTATGTAACTTTTCAGCATCTGGCATTTTATAACTGCTTTGGAAAAAAAGATAAATAAAATGAACAGTGACATTCACATAAATTAATGAACTATTTGCAACTTTTTGATTGATATTCAAACACTTGACAGGTCCAATTTATATGCAAATCAGCTTATATTCACAGCATAAAGAACGAAAACTTAATTTCTCATGCTTTGCAAATCATTAAATCCTCTGAACATATTGCTTAGTCATATGTTCCTCAAAAGCATCAGTTTAACCACAATTCACTTGTCCTTGCAGTCCATTAGCCTCACAGAGAACTCTGGGCTTGGGGAACAAGCCATTTTTGTGGGGACACTTGGAATTAAGAGTGGGCTATGCTGCACCACAAATGTAAAATCATAGCAAACTATGGGCTTTTGCACTGTATGTGTGTGTGCCAGATGTTAGAAGATCACAAATGAGGACAACAGACATCCCAGTTCCTGTTTCTGGCTGTTTTCTGCCATTCCTTTGCTCCCAGCTCTAATTGGTACCAGAAGCATTTTCTTAGAAGGAGTCACTTTGCTGGACAGCTCTTGCCCTGTCTATCACAGGCTTTGCTAACTGAGACTTGAAAAGGATCCAGGATATATCCTGTAAATATTTACATAGATACAGGACTGTCATTGCTCTTAAATCAAAGCCTGGAGGACAGGAAATGGCATATGGAAGAGAAAGACTGTATTCAGAAAGACCTGGAAAGGAAAGAATAACAACAACTGTGATGGCTTCTCCAGAGTTTGCCCCCACAAGTGCTGTGTTCTCAGGAAGATCTCTCTCTGAAGCCTGATGACATCAATTGGAAAAAACCCTCTGGTACCAAAGACTTTGGATCGGAACTATTCTTTTTCCTGTTCATATCTGAAAAAAAAAACAAAAAAACCACAACCTCTCTTCATCAACTAGACCACTTGGTGTCTCTCTTCTGCTCCTTACTGTTACAATTCAAGGAGTTCCAGGACAGACCTGGACATGAAAGAGTGAGTATATTATTAGCAGAAACAGCACCTGAAACAGGGAAAGCAAGAGCAGCAGCAGATGCTGAGGAAACGTGATGTGTTCATTAGCCAAGCAGAGTCTCTTTGATGTATTTGGCCAATACTCCTTCCTCTCATTCAGTGACGGAGGACGTTGCCTTGTGCGTTCTCACACAAATCGTGACTTGAAGAAGTGGTGGTGCTCCAGAGCCCGTGTGTGGGCTTCGGAATCAGGAAGCCTTGTGGCTTTGGAGAAGCCACAAAACCCTCCTTGCTCAACTTCCCCCTTGTGGGAAAGGGAGAGTTCACTTATTCACTCACCTCGGAAGGCTGCGGTGATGATTTAGGACAGCTTTGGAAAACAACCTGGCCATCTTTTGCAATTATTCAATGACAACAATAAAATAAAATAAAATAAAATGAAATTAAATGAAATGAAATGAAATAAAATAAAATAAAATAAAATAAAATAAAATAAAATAATTTCGAAATAAAAAGATAACAACTAGATTTCTTCCAACCAAAACTTTCCAAGAATGAAGGCATATATTTATAGCAACAACAATTTAAGGGGAGTGACACTTTCTGTGCAAACCACTTAGGATGGCAATCCTGTTTTCCATCTGTCTGTGCCCATAGAGCCGCGCAGGCTGCGGAGCTCGGGGCTGTCCGCGGTCACGGCTCGCTGCCACCGGCCCGCCCGTCCCCGCGGTCTCTGCCGCTCCGGATCACCAGCGGCACGAAGGGCCGGGGCTCCTCTCCCGCCTGGGAACTACAATTCCCAGCAGGCCGCGGGGCGGCGCGGGGCGGTGCGCGAGCGCACTGCCGTGTCCAGCATGGCTACGGTGCTGTCCCGGGCGCTGAAACTGCCGGGTAAGGGCTGCGCGCCCGCGGGACGGACCGACCGCCGCGCCGGGCCGGGCCGGGCTGGGCCGGGCTGGGCTGGGCCGGACCGGGCCAGGCCGGGCCGGGCCGTGCAGGCGCAGCCGCGGCCAGGGCAGCCCTGATGGCGGGAGGCGCGGTGCCGCTGGCTGAGGGCTTGCGGGGCGCGTTGCCATAGTGATGGGGCGATGTGGGGAGAGGCCCGGGGGTGCGGGCGGTGAGGGGCGGCCGGCGGGCTCCGTGCGAGGGGCACTGGGGCGTCTGGGGGCTCGGAGGGCGTCGTGTGTGGCAGAGGGGGGCCTGGGCCGCGGGCCTGTGACGGGTCGGCGTGGGAGCAAAGGGAGCGCAGACCTCTCAGATCCGCTCCTGCCGAGTTTTGCCCACAGAAGACAGGCCAGGAGTTCGGTAAGTGCCAATGCAATTACCCAGGTAAATGTTTAAAGCCTGCCTGCCGCCTCTGCACCTTCCAGCCAGAGATCTTCAGCGAGATGAAAGGATATTCAAGCATAAGGGACTATTGTGTGCGGTGAGCAGCGCTCAAACAGCCATTCTCTTCAGTAAGGAGATTAAAAGAGAATTAAAATACCTTGCCA